GTTAAGAAGAAAAAACCGGCCATCCGGGGCCAGCCCAAAGGTCCATCTACCCCATTATCCTGTCTACCTACAGTGGCCAATGCCAAGTGCCCCAGAGGAAGTGAACCTAACAGGTAATGATCCATTGATCTCTCTCCTGCCATCCATCTCCACCCTCTGGCAAACAGAGGCTAGGGACACCATTCCTTACCTATCCTGGCTAATAGCCATTAATGGACTTAACCTCCATGAATTTATCTGTTTCCTAGAGACTGGCTGCATGGGGCCCCTCACAAACTGGAGACGGTTACTGTGGGTTTGTCTTTAGTATAGCTTATGTACGTACTCCACGAACTGAGCATTTGAGCTTGTTCCAGAATGTGAGATGAGCCTATGTTGTAAAAACTGAAATGCTCAAAATAGCACATGCATGTGACTGGACACAGGGTGCTAAAATTAAATTAACCCAGGGGTTCTCAAACTGGGGGTTGGGACCCCTCAGGGGGTCACGAGGTTATTACTAGGGGTCGCGAGCTGTCAGCCTCCACCTCAAAGCCCACTTTGCTTCCAGCATTTATAATAGTGTTAAATATATAAAAAACTGTTTTTAATTTATAAGGGGGGGTCACACTCAGAGGTTTGCTATGTGAAAGGGGTCACCAGTACAAAAGTTTGAGAACCACTGAATTAACCCCTCTGGAGCCTCGGGGAATGCAGGGGACGGGGGTCTCCCTTGGTAGGGTTGGGAAGGAGGTAGGTGGTGTATGATATTGCTCTTCTCATGTGAACCCTCCCCCATGGATCTCTTGGCTCTATCACTGTTAATTTAAAGTGGCTACTTTTAAATGAAGCTACCCTCTCCTGACATGAGTCTCCCTATGGCATTGAAATTAAATGTAGACTATAATTTGGCATTTGAGAAGTGAAAGGGATGGTAGCCCTAAGGGAAAAGATAACAGCTTGGCTTATTGTGTTAAATAGCTGTCTGCAAGCCTCAAACTGCTGAATGAGCTTTAGCGTAGGGAAGGCTGTGCCTCCCCAAACAGTCTGGCCCTGCCCCCTATCTGACCCCCACCCACTTCCTGCCCCCCGACTGCCCCCCTCAGAATCCCCGACCCACGCTGCTCCTTATCCCCTCACTGCCCACCCCAACCACCACCCTGGGACCCCACCCCCCACCAACCCTCCCTGTCCTCTTACTGCCCCGACCCCTATCCACCCTCCCCCCACGCGTCCTGACAGACCCCCGGAATGCCCACGATCCAACCCCCCATTCCCTGTCCCCGACCGCCCCACCCCAGCAGAGCTGTCCAGGGCCGCTCCTGGGTTACTGCTGCCTCTCCCCTCTTTCGGAGCCTCAGTGCGCCGCGTCCAGGAGCTGTCCTGGCCCCTGGACAGCGCTGCAGCGGCGTGGTTCCGGCGGGACCAGAGCTCGCAGCCCCGCCCCCTTACCACGCGGCTCTGACTCAGTGGGAGGAGCTCAGGCCCCGCTGGAGCCACTCCGCTGCAGCGCTGTCCAGGGCAGCTCCTGACGCGGCGCGCTGAGGCGCTGGGGGATGGGGGAAGGCAGAGGTGGGGCTGGGGGCCTTTGTGGGGCCCGGGGCCTGGGGCAAATTGCCCCATTTCCCCCCCCCCTCCGGGCAGCCCTGAGTGAAGATGGGGCCCTGGTGCTCCCTATTTTATCTTCTCTAAATTATGGCCCTTACTTGCACTGGACAACTGCAGTTCTGGCATTTTCCCTCCTGCTAGGAGAGTACAAGAGCAGATGCCCTGGAGTTGATTGCAAAGCTAAACTGAGATCAGGACATGCTTGAGTTATGAGTTGCCATTACCCTCTGTCCTCCTCCACTGAACCAGTGGCAAATACTCCTTTGTGACATCCCTTAGCTCCACTGATGCACATTTAGTTCTCCTGTTGCCCAGCACGCAGCTGGGCTTCCAGGTCAGAAGGAAATCATTCAATTATATCTTTGTGATAATAAAGTATTTTCTCTGCCACTACTACTAAAGGGACACATTCTGCCCACTTTATTCATGCAACTGAAGACTAAGGGTATGTCCAGACTACCCGCCGAATCGGCGGGTAGTAATCGATCTATCGGGGATCGATATATCGTGTCTCATCTAGACGCGATATATCGATCCCCGAACGCGCTCCCATTGACCCCGGAACTCCACCAGGGTGAGCGGTGGTAGCGGAGTCGATGGGGGAGCCGTGGCTATCAATCCCACGCCGTGAGGACCCGAGGTAAGTCGAAATAAGATACGTCGACTTCAGCTACGCTATTCCCGTAGCTGAAGTTGCGTATCTTACATCGACTCCTCCCGCCCCGTGTAGATCAGCCCTAAGGGAGCTTGCAGGTAGTTTCCTCTGCTGCAGCTAGGGATTCCCTCAGGGCAAAAGAGTTCACAGTGGATGCAGACCTCACAAAGCCGATACCTATGCTTTCTTTTCTGCAGCCCTTGGCTCAGGGAGCATGGTATAGGTGGGGGAGTAGGAGTGGCTGAAGTACAGTGCACTCTGGTCATCCCCAGCTGGTTCATGGTCCTTTGGGGAGCTGGGGCAGAGAATCAGGGAGCTGTAATTAGTTCAGTAACAGCTCCTCACTTTGCTACACCCAAAACTGGGCACAGCAGAAAATCTGCCCCATTGGGACTGCTCTCATAAGTAGGGGTCTAATGAATTCACAGAAAATCATGTCATGGATTGTGAAATCTGGTTTAAACTGTGAAATCTGGTCTCCGGTCACCCAGCTCTGAAGGCAGAGCGGAGAGTGGCAGCTGCTGGTCATGCGCCCAGCTCTGAAGGCAGCGCCGTGGCCAGCCCACCTTACTTCTCTGCTGCTGCTGCTGGCAGCAGTGCTGCCTTCAGAGCTGGGCGCTCGGACAGCAGCCACTGCACTCCTGCTGCCTAGCTTCAGGAAGTGGTGCTGCCAGCAACAGCAGAGAAGTAAGGGTGTCAATACCACGCCCCCCTCCCAATAGGTTTGCAACCTCCTTTTGGGTCAGGGCCCCCAGTTTGAGAAATGCTGTGGAGAAATCACATTTTTTGTGGGTTGGTCATGCAATAATAGCAAATTTCGTGGATATGATGCATGGTGTAACACATCTGCAAAATTTGCTATTTATGCCATAACCAACCTGTGAAAAATGTGATTTTTTCCCCTCTGATTTAAGTAGATCTCCTACTCATAAGTAAAATAAGTAGGGATTTGGTCCAGTATCCCCCATCTGTAATGGAACAGCAAGTTAAAAGATGGGTGTGGTTAATCAGAAAATCTGGAATGAAACTATATGGGATAAAATATATTAAACAAAATCCTGTGGAGATTTTTAAACATGGGGCAGCTGCATCACAGAGAGAACATTACACGTATGAGTGCCAATTAACTACTGTATGTTACACTTTAAAGGGAAACTCTCAGGTTCAAATCTAGTCATTTTTAAAAGAGTTCAACATTGTACAGAGTGCTTAAGCCCCTTTGCCCATTTTGATTGTTTTACAGTCACATTTTCTTTGTTTTAAAAATGCTTGTCCTCTCCTCTGTTGCTGTTTGAAAGTTTCCCAA